ACCCTCTCCCCTCTCATGCTGTTTCTCGCTCGCTCGCTCTCTAAAAAATAAATAAAATCTTTAAAATAAATAAATAAATAAATAAATAAATAAATAAAAACAAATTCCCTTTTAAAATCTTTAAAAAAAAAAAAAACCCTATTTAACTAGGCAACCATCATCAATGACTGCTAATAATTATAAAAAATAGAGGTGTCCTTTGTATTTCCTATAAATTTGTTATGAGATGTTGGAATTTGAATACATTCAGGTTTGATTTTTTTTCTAAGAGGAATATTTATAACTGTGTTGTGTCATTATATGTCTGTTGATGGAAGTAGATAACATAAGGTATCCTTCCTGAAATAAAAACAAATCTGGATTAATCAGATTTTTATATCTCATAACAAATTCATAGGAAAATTAAAAGAATGAGTTAAGTAATACCATGAAGATGCAGTCAGCAAAACTCAGACCTTGGACAACTTAATAGGACAAACAACCTGGTTTCTTCAGTAAATGAGTTGCAAAGGCGGGTAAGAGATGAAAAGAGATTTCATAGACAATCAACCAATTGCAGTGGATGGTACTTATTTAGATCCTGGTTCAAACAAATTGTTAAAAAATATGTATGGGAAACAAGACAGAGGATCATAGGGGAAGGGAGGGGAAAAAATGAAACAAGACAAAACCGGAGGGGGAGACAAACCATAAGAGACTCTATCTCAGGAAACAAACTGAGGGTTGCTGGAGTGGAGGGGGGTGGGAGGGATGGGGTGGCTGGGCGATGGACATTGGGGGAGGGTATGTGCTATGGTGAGCGCTGTGAATTGTGTAAGACTGATGAATCACAGACCTGTACCTCTGGAACAAATAATACATTATATGTTAATAAAAAATTTTAAAAAATATGTGTGGGACAATTAGGGAAATTTGAACACTGAATAGATACCAGATAACATTAAATTATTGTTAATGTTTTTAGGTATTCTAGTAATACTGTGGTTATAATCCCAAAAGTCCTTATCTTTTTGAGATATATATTGAAATAGTTATGGTTGAAATAAAAATTTAAGAACACCTCACATCTATGTTTATATATACCTAAAAATCTGTTCAAGGATATACAGCTGACCCTTGAGCAGTGGAGGGGAGGGGTTGGGGTGCCCACCCCCCGCGCAGCCTAAAGTCTGCATATAACTTTTGACTCCCCCAAAACTTAACTTATAGCCTCCTTTGACCAGAAGCCTTACTGATACCATAAAGGGTCGATTAACACACGTTTTGTTTGTTGTATGTATTATATAGTGTGTTCTTACAATAAAGGAAGCTAGAGAAGCGAAAATGTTATTAAGAAAATCATAAAGACAATACATTTATGGTACTGTATTGTGTTTACCCAAAAAAATGCGTGTAAGAGGACGTGCACAGTTCAAGGTATTGTTCGAGAGTCACCCGGATAAAGGAATTCTGATGCTGTGTTCGTTGTGAGGGGAACTAGGAGTCAGGATGGGAGAGAAGTAAACTTTTGGGCAGATCATTATTTACTTTATGAAGGTTACACTTTTTCAAAGAACTAACCAAAAAAGAAATATAGTGGGGGGAAAAAAGTTAATTTGAAGTTGGAATGCTTCTTTGGGGGAACGAGAAGGCATAGACTCATATTATAGAACACATGGATGGATTGACCCAGGCCCTATTTCCCAAAGTAGGTCCCCGGGCCACCTGCACCAGAGATGGGCCCACCTCCCAGCCCCCCAGCCAGTGTCTGGGGGAGCGAGGCACAGAGGCATTTGTGACCCACAGCCCTTGATCACCTGAGTGCTGGCTTCTCAAATACTCTTCATACGGTGGTGGAACTTTGGAATCCACAGGGCAAAAATACTCCCAAACTTAAATTCAAAGCAGCACAATTCTGAAAGGCTTTTTTTGTTTAGATTTGCTGACAGTGATTTAATCAGCAGATGTCACTGTGCAATACTTGGGAGCATCCCTTCCGTGCAGCCTCATTTTTGGAAGGGCAGAGGGTGCTGCTGGCATTGTAACATAGGAATATTTATGGCAATTTTGTATTTTGTTTAATGACAATAATTTTTCTTTTGCTTCCAGTGCTTATTAAAAGTTTCTCTTTGATTAAGCATTCTTTGCTTTTGTTTTTGTTTTTCCCTTCCCAGCATCATTGACAAAGAAGTTTCATTAATGGCAGAAATGGATAAAGTTAAAGAAGAAGCCAGTAAGTAACACATGGTTGTTCGGTTAGGAGCCTCCTGGTCAGAAGCAACCCATAGGTCGACTGGCAGTGATATGGACTCTGAGCGAGGTCCTAAAATTCACACCGAAATCCTGGCTCATGAGCTCTGTGACCTCAGGCAAGTCACTTAGCCCCTGGAAACCTTGGGAGCCTCACGTGGCCCGAGGATAGAAGTAGCAGGCCCCACTGAGCGCACAGCAGAGCGGGTACTCAGCAAAGAATAGGTGTCAGCTGAGTTATTGGAAATTGGGGGCATATAAAGGGTTACTTATAGTTAACGGGGTTTAAAATGACATTGCGTTTAGAATTAAATTTATAAAACATCAGTTGTATGCTTTCACAACTTACGTATCTTGCTATGTTACTCATACGATCCTTTTCACTTGTTCTTTCTTAGGTTCAACTAACTCAAGTTTAACAAATTACATTCCCTTAAAAAAAACAGTCCATTTGAAACTTTACTTAAAATCCCTTTAACATTTTGAATCACATCTATAAATTTAACGCGTCTGATTTTTTTTTCCGAGCACTTCAGATGCCTGACAAGGCAACCTCACCAGCCTAAGGGCAACATGTTCCAAGCTTTTAAGCAGCTCTTATAAGATTAATAATTCAAACTTAGAGACGTACTAAGTGAAGTTTTCTTAAAACACTCCCGATTCTGTTTACAAATTCAGTCAAATCTGCTGACAGCTGCTAACTTAACACCTCAAAAGAAAATCAATTACATGTTTTAAGTTGAAATCACAAATGAGACTGTTTAATGTCCCAAATACCCTGTTTAAATAATAAACACCCTCAGACAATCTTAAAATATTAGTATACCCTGGGTTGGATTTACTGTATTATCTTTAAACTTATTTTTGGTTCTAAATTTGTCCAACGGTCGTAAAGCTATTCAACAGATAGTAGGACAGATTTAAACTCTCTCGAATAGGCTGGGGTTCATGGGTGGAACATTGTACGTGAGACGAGATTGCCCCGTCAGCTGCAACACCAGGCCACAGTGGGGCTGCTGAGCCCTCTCTTAGGATCAAATGCAGTCTGCTGTCGCTGTCGTTGACGGAACCTTCCCTAAGACCGTATTTTTCAGCTGGGATCTAGTCTTACAATTCTTATCTCCTGCGCATTTTAAATTCTCCATCCTCACCCAGATTTTATCTCGTTAATTGGATGAATGGCAGTCTGCACCCCAACCAGCTAATTCCTTCCCCTTTGGCCACTGTGCCTTTCTTTTTACCAGAACGAAGGATCGACCAGATTCTTCATTCTTTTTCTATTTTTCTTTCCTGGCCCTTGGCCGTAATTCAGTAGTCACTTTATGAAAAATAGCGATCGGTATTTTTGTTACACAAATTTTTTAAATGACTTTAAGCAATGTGTGAGAACCTCAAATTCAGCAAGTTTTATTAAATAAAATGAAATGTGATTCAGGGTTCGGCTGTGGAATATTTAGGTAGTTACACAATCCCTCTGTCTGTGAAATTATTGTATTCTTACGAAGTTTGTTGATTCCTTCAGAAAAGTTGCTTACCACATGATCTGGGCTTTTCCCTGTTTCTCAGGTGTAGCTTATTCTTTGTTGTCAGTTTCATGTCCTGCTGATAAAAATGTTAACAGCCAACACAGACACAAGAGTGTCTCTGGTACCAAAATGTAAAGTTACCAGCACATCACTTCCTAAAAGGTTATCAATAGACCTCAGATCTCACATGCTCATTCTATCTTCTTGAGACAATAATATTAGGTGCCAAGACCTGTGGGATTTGGAGCATCTCTGGAGAGCATCCCCATTTTTAAAATCCACTCAATCAATAAACACGTACTGTGTGCTTGCTTATGTGTTACCAACTGTCTCAAACTGGGTTAAACAGCGAACAGCACACTTTGGGACCTGCACACAGGGAGCTTTAGCCTAGCTGAAAGGGCGAGATTGGTTTGCCTAACCTCTGTCATTGGTCCACGGCTCCTGGTTTTAGAACTGCCCAGAGCCCCAGGGAAGCCGTTTTGCATGCACTGGGGGCTAGCAGGACTGAATTCAAATCCAAGTTCCACCCATTTACTAGCTGTGTGACCTTGACCCATTTTGTTAAACTTCTCAAAGTCCAAGGTTACTTATCAGAAGAGGGGGAATAAGAATAGTATCTATCTCAAATGGTTATTGTTAAAGATAAAAGGAGGAAATATATGCCAGGCTCTTAGGCAGTGCCTGACACAGTATGTGTACAAAAAGGGAAAAGCACTGACCTGCGAAGGGGTCAGTCCAGCCTCCTCTGTCAGAGGACCGCCAGGAAATGGAGGCCAAAGGGGCTATGCAGCATCTCTCAGGTGACACAGGCGTGTGTCTCCACAGGTAGAAAGAGCCATTGAATTTCCCTCCACTAAGAATTTCCAACCACCATCTTGAGCGTGCTCATCTATGATCTCCAGAGTACTTTCCACATTTTCTATTTGCTGTACATGTTACAGACCTATTTCCTCAATTATAGCATAAGCTCCTCTGTCTGTCACGGCACCTAACATAGTGCCGAGAAGACTGTAGGTACTTCATAATATTTGTTAAATGAATTATTGTAATTAACTCAGTGTCTGTAGGCTGTGGGATCCAATATTAGTAATTGCAAAAAAAAAAAAAAGGAAGTATATTCTAGATGAACATATCTCACTTTATTAATGTGTGAGGTTAGCATTTTTTAGTGTATGATACTAAACACGTCACGTAGGTTATTTCATTTAGTTCCACAATAACCCTACAAGGTAATATGATTATTACGTTGACAGATGAAGAAACAAAGCATGTTGCGGTGCTATGGTCTCAGACTCTGTTTGAGGGAACTGAAGGCCAAAATAGGTGTGTTCTTGGAGTATCAAATTTATTGAAGATATGGGAAGAAAACATAGTAACAGAAACGCAGATATGTTGTGAGGTAAAATGCAGAGCTCACAAGAATAAAAAGGATTTCAAAGAATCTTTGTGCTTGAAACAAGCTTTGTGTCCCAGCTCCTCCCCCCAGGATTTCAAGTCCACCCTCTGCTAAGGAGTATTATTTGAGAAGCCCTAAAATTTTCCATGGTTCTTGCAACACGAGCAAGCTTCCAATGTGTTCCAAAAACTTGAAGGAATTTCAAAATCCTATTGAGAAAATGGATTTCAGCATACCAGATAGTGTTTATAAAAGTAGCTCAATAATATTAATGAAGTCCTGAATGCAGTGAAAATGAAAGCTGTATGAAACTGTCTCCCTCTACAGATTTCCAAAACGATGATGCTTTCAAAACATAACTTATTATTCTGTTTTAAATTTTAGGATCAATGAATCTTAGGATCTGATCTGGTTTTGTTTTTGCTTTTTGTTTCTGTGATTGATGTTTTTGAGGTGAAAATGTTAGTGTCCCCACAGAATATTGGCTTTAGATCTCCAGTTTTAAGGCTTTTTCATAATGAAAGGCTTTGAAATGTTAATGTGACTATATGTAAAACTCATCCCAGTGCTTGCTGATGCAAAAGTATTCATTTTCATGCACATTTGCATGAGGGTAAGCTCAGAATTTATTGGTGATCTTGCACCTGCATTCCTATTTTAGGGCCCATTTATATCTATTTCTACAAAATCTTTTGTGTGAATGCCCAAGTTCTTCTCAAAAAGTACAATTATCCCTAATTGTTACCAGTCCCACAAATGATCCATTAAGAAAAGTCAGATCTGTTTAACTGAGTAGTCATTCATGGTCTGCTGACCCCTTTACTATCTGCTCACCAAGTCTAGGCCTTCGGAATTTCTTTTTTATGTTTGCAAGAGCAAAGTACTTTGTTTCAGCTTCCTGCTCAAGAATCGTTTATTCATCCTGCAGACTTTAGTCCCGTTCCTATGTTGAATTATAATGGCAAACATATAATCAAAGGTATAAGTGCTAAATATGCTTCAGTGGTCCTTCTAGAAAAGGAACTTCTGTCCTTCTTTGTGTATTCCTTTTTTTAAAAAAAGATTTATTTATTTGAGAGAGAGAGAGAGAGAGCATGGAGAGGAAGGACAGAGGGAGAGGGAGAGTCTTAAGCAGACCCTGTGCCAAGCGCAGAGCCCGACACGGGGCTCCATCTCACAACCCTGAGATGATGACCTGAGCCAAAACCAAGAGTCAGACACTCAACCGACTGCTCCACCTAGGCGCCTGGCATATTCCTTTTAAATAATGGACTGACGCATTCATTCAGTCCTCATTCAGCAAACATACATATTGGGCACCCACTTTGTACCAGGCCGTAGGCATTGTGGACACAAAGAACTTTAACACAAAGAACTCTGCCATGATTGGAGTTGCCTACAGGGGCCAGGCTGGAAACATTAATGAGCCGAGCAGAGCAGGGAGTGACCATGGCACGCTGGGCGCCATGCTCCATCCATAAAGGGCAACAACTCAGGGGTAGCCAGTTGTTGCCACGTGGGACTGTTGGCCAACTGTGGCCAGAAATTCCAGTATTTTAAGAGAAGCCAGAAATCCAGCTTCCGAGTGGAATCTCCTAATTTTCAAATGTGGACAATTAATTTGTAAAAGTAGTATGTGGACCAAACAAAATGTATGCACTCTATGGCCACACGTGATAATAGGCCAGCTTTTTGTGACCTCTTACCTGGCTGGGTAGCTGGGACATCATTCAGTAATATAGTGTCCGTGTTCAGATGGAGATTCTTTTCACAACCATCATGGGGACACGTTTTCCACCAGCCCCTCTGTATTCTGTAAGACGAAGGCACAGAGCAGCCTCTGCTCAGCTACAAGGAATTGTAAATGGGAGGCAAGGGGAGTCCTGGTAAATAATCAAAGCATGATTAGTTTAGCAAACAGTTAGGCTTTATGAGTCATGGATTACTTATTCTGTTGACATCTCAACATTGGTATCAGCATAGAAAGATGATGTTTCTCAGTCTGTCTGCAGAATGGTTTATAGTGTGCAGGAAATCTTAACTCTTGATTGCTTTTGAACTTTTTTTTGGGGGGGGAGGTTTGAAGTGACTGTTTTTGACATTTATAAATTAAGAACCCTTACAGTCAGAAATCATTGTTTAGCTCTGCGTGTGTGCTGTGAATCTGGTCTAATAAAGCAATTGACCTTTGTTCAGCCAAGAAAGGAATGTGAATCCAACATGCATAGCATCTTCATTGGATGGACTGGTTTTTTCTCATAACTCAAAATGCTGTCCAAAAGAAATGAAGGCAGTTCATATGTGACTTAAAATTAGAGAACAAAAAGCTATCTTTTGGAAGATGAAATTTCATATTTAAATCTCACTGTATGTGTTAGTATTGCTTTTGAGCTTTATGATCTTTTGGGAAACAAACACACACGCACACAAATTCACCTGTGGACTACTACATTTGCTTGAACCTTTAGGTCATCAGACAGACGTGTGAAATGTGGCACCAGAAAACTCCCTGGTGTCTTCTCTGCATGTGCAGATGCTAAAGAGTATACACAAATCCAGTCCAAGCGGGCTTTGACTCACCCTTGAAATTTTTCCATGGGGGACACTTAAAACAAAGACAAGGCACTCTCGTCTGGAACTTCTCTTTGGTTGCAAAAATGGAAACAGATCTGCAGAGTATCAAAAGCAGAGGCATTTTTTAGCCCACAAAAAGCTAATAAAGTAAAAATTTTATGTCATATTCCAGTAACACAGCTAGTTGCTCTAAATGAGTAAGTGTTAAAGTTCAGAGGGTCTGATGCTGTTAGAATTTAATAGTACAGCACATACAGAAGAGTGGTCTTTGCTTGGCGGCCTCCCTATCTTTGCGATATCATTCAGACAGGATTTTACCAAGCGTCTTTTTTTGGTGATACTTGTTTGGAGTAATGCACAAGTTGAAAAGTCCAAATTAAGGAAGTGAGATCAGACGCCAGTGAGGAAAACAAAGAAGACTGGGTGTACAGTGAATCCGAAGGGACCGTGTTTGATTTGGGGATTGGTGGATAAAGACATACAGAAGCGAGTGATCGGTCATGAGCACCGAGGGCAAACCCACCTCAGTAACCAACTTGGAAAACATAGTCGTGGTCCAACAGAGCGATCAGTGTGTGGAGGGAGAACCGATTCCAAGAAATTAGGTCATTTAATATGTTTAGATCTCTGGCCCTAACGTATTATTCTTTCTTATTTGGCAGTGGAGATCCTGACTGCTCGTCAGAAGAAAGCAGAAGAACTAAAGAGACTGACCGATCTGGCCAGTCAGATGGCAGAGATGCAGCTGGCTGAACTCAGGGCAGAAATTAAGGTCAGTTCTAAAATATCACAGCCTGAACCCTGAGCCAGAGATCTGAGCCCCATTCTGTTTGTTTTGCATCCATAGAGTGCTGCTCTCTGAGGATCTAACATCATGCACCCAGCTCTCTCTTTCACAGTGTTGAACTAGAGAATACAGAAGGGCGAAGAACCAACTAATCACTGTACTTAAGGATACTGTGGTTTGAAGGGATATATTATTACAGAGGAGAAGAATGAGCTATTTTCTTACTCAGTGGAGACTGACCCAAATAAACTGTATTCAACCATGTATTATAGCTGGAATGGGGGATATTATTTTCACCATATGTAATGTAGGTGTATGTATATAAACACTCGTACATGTGAACACACAGTGAGTATGAACCTAGTAGAACAGTAAGGATTCTAAAGCTAGCACAATATACAGCGACTTCTTTCCGGTACCCTTTTCTAGCTGACTTGCCCTTTTATTAAGAATACCACCCACAGATATGTATTTATTGGATCTCTACAGTTGCAAGCAATAGAAGCTGACCCTGGCTAACCTCAAGAACAAGTGGAATTTGAACGAATATGAGTGTAGCTCACCAAAGTGTGATCTGAAGACTCCAGGCTACACTTAGGCAGAAACCCAGGCAGCCACCTGGGGAACATAGACAGATGTAATTCCCAGACTCTCTTCAGGGCACCATTAGAATGGGGGACCTTCAGATGTCATCTCTCTTTGTGCCACCCCACCCGAGTCACATCCCAAAGAAGGAGATTCTGATTGGCCTTCACTTGGATCATAGACACCATTGGGCCAAGGGAGGCCTTGACTGACAGACCCACCAATACTGGATCTTTGAAACTGCATTGGGATACAGTTATTAGAAAAAGAAATGGTTACCAGAAGGGCAAAAACAAGTATCTACGACAAAAGAGGGAGTTACAGTTTATACATTTTCCCTTATCCTCTTCTTTTTCCCCAGTACACTAAACATACAGACATATACACACACGCTCAGCGTCTACCCAGCTTCTAGGGTCTAGAGCACTTTCAGGACACAGTTGCTACTTGCTTTCTAAGTAGGACTGTCTGCTCATCCAGGCATAAAAGTGGTTGGGTGTGGTCGAAAGTGGCAAGTAACTTCAGTCCCCTCTGCCCTGGTTAGGCATGAAAGGGAGCCCCTTGGGGATAAGGACCTCCTCTGAGGATCCTGAGAAGTCCTAATGGTCTTTCCCTTCTCATCTGGTCTTTGTTGCTGCCAGCCAGTCCCTTGCAGTGTCCTCCTGCCTGGTCTTTCTGCCTCCCCTGTCTCCCTCCAGCCTGGTCATCCACCCTAAGGCCAGAGTCATAGTCCAGAGCAGATCTGATCTCCCCCAGTATGGCCTACCCTTCCCCTCAGAATAGAATCCACAACTGGACTCCATTATATATGTTCCAACCTCCGTGCCCCGCCTGGCTAGAACATCAAGTGAGGAATATGAAGTTGCCCGCTTCCGGGTCTGTTGACATCTGCTCATTCTCCAAGCTTCCTTCCTGCCTATTCAGACCCCACTCATCATAAGATGGTTAATGGCGCAGGCTTTGGAGTGAAACAGTCCAGCTCCTTGGGGAAATTACTCTCCAATCAGATTCCTAGAACCTCAATTCCCCCTCTATAAAGTAGAGATAATGACAGTACTGACTTCATAATACTGTGATCAGATGAAAATGAGATTATCTGTTAAGAATTTGGTCCACGTCTGGTAAGTGATCAATATATATTTCTTTAATGTTCCAGCACGAATGCTCCTTCTCACATAACACTTTCTCTAGTCCCCTTAGTAGGAAATAATTCTTCCCCTTTTATATTCCTCAAGCACCTACCACATTCTACCTTATATTGTGTTTAGTGGTATCCATTTCCCCTGCTGTGCGGTAAACTCCGTAGCAAATTCAGGAAGGACCGAGTCATAGTTATTTCTGTATTTCTCACTCTGTCATCTACACACAGATCTTAATTTTCAAGGAAAAATAATCTCTGTTCCACTTCCTTTAACAGCACTTGAAATTCCTCCATTCAAGATCATGTTTTCCAGTTACTAAAGGCTTTTTGGGCGTTCTGCTTCCCTATTAGGATCGGGAAGGGTAACACATCTTCTTTCGAGGGGGTAATACATTAGCAAGCCATTGCCATTGGCCAAATTAGGAAGACTGCCAGAATGCAACCCCAAAATCTGTAACAGGACAGAACATGCTAGAAGGAGGTAGAGGGGTGCCCAAAGTTAAGCAAGTGAGTCCAGACACACATTTTGCCCGATCACAGTTTTCTCCAGGTCTTGGGCAGGGGAAAGACAAGCCCCTCACATATTCCCAGAAGGAGAAGGTGATCGTGCTCCAGGCAGGTCAAACCAGGCCCGATTTAACAGCCACACAGGGAACAGAGCGGGCATGACTGGCCTCCTGCTTAGCAGGGTCAGTGGCACCGAAGAGCAGAGTGAATGGATCTGCTGTGTGCCTCAGTCACTCCGGTAACCGTGGGGCTCCTGTTTCACTTCTCTTTCCTGCAGCACTTTGTCAGCGAGCGTAAATATGATGAAGAGCTCGGGAAAGCTGCCCGGTTCTCCTGTGACATTGAACAGCTAAAGGCCCAAATCATGCTCTGCGGAGAAAGTGAGTTTTGCATACTTGCTAAATAATTCTGTGTGAGTAAGCTCGGTGCTATTTGGAGTTGACATGGGAAATGTCAGGTGTGCGGTCCCCCAGCGGGGCTAAAGCGAAGTCTGAAGAGATTTAATGATCTAAGGTCACGACACAAGTCACTAGAAATGTCAAGATTTGAACTTAGAGTCTTCAAATGCCACTGCCCATCGGTAAATCCCCAGGATTTATGAAGCAGAACAGAACAGGTCAACTAGTCTGTATCTTCGGCAAACTTTTCTTAAGCACCGCCAGATAAACTGCCTCTCTGATTTCCAATAGCCTGGTTCCACAGAGACCTGTTACACTGAGAGCCAGTCTCCCTAACAAGTCTGGGAACATCCGGCTCTTGAGTCATAAAGGGCCCAGCTGTTGTATGCATGCTGCTCAGCGGTGCCCTGAGCCTCTCCCCTGGTCGGTTCTCTGTGCTTGCCGAGGGAAGTCTGCAGATAATGAAAGACTTCACTTCAACCATTAGCTTCAGTTTTGTTCACTATTAAGCATTAATTAGAGCAGTTAATGTGCAACAAAACTGGCTGATCTTTTTTTCTCCTACTCCAGCCCACCCATCGGGGGAGGGGGGGAATGAACAGTGAAATGGCTTTAAGGATGGGCCCAAGGAGGAAAAGAAGGACTGGTGAGGGACGTGGATTACCCACAGCCTCAGAGTCAGCTGAAAATTTGAGATTTGGCTGCACTTTTTTTTTTTTTCCCCAAAGTCGGAAATGTTCTTTTTCCTGAGTATAAAAAAAGAGAAGCTTGATCTAAAAATTAGAGAACTGTATTAAATAGAACATGACATTACTTTTATGTATCCCTCGCACTTTTTATGCACGTTTCATTTGTGTAAGTTATATATTACATCTATCATGATACTACATGTTACAATTTATTATACTATACTACATAATACATAGTAATATGATTAGCTTTTATCATTTCACAGCATACGGTTGAGATTTTCCATGTCAACGTATTTAACTCATAATTTATATAAATATAACTGACGTAACCAGTCACCTGATTGTGGACATTTAGGTTGCTCACAACTTTTTCACCATTAAAATAACACTGCTGTGAGCATCCTTGTTCACGTATCTTTGGCAGTTATCTGATTTTCTGACTGCATTTCTTTTTTTTTTTTAAGATTTTATTTTTAAGTAATCTTTACATATAACATGGGGCTTGAACTCACAACCCCGAGAGCAGGATTCACATGCTCTACCAACCGAGCCAGCCGGGCGCCTCCTGATGGCATTTCTTTTCAATTATTTTCCTTTTTTTTTCCTTATGTGTTCCCTCCCTTATGTCATAATCAACCCGTTTATCATTCCCAAACCCCAGCGTTTGCCCCATTTCTAAAAAAGCACAGTCCGGTTCACAGTTGGACATTTAACTGTCCATGCAAGTTTCCATTGCAGCCTGGTGATGAATGAGACCCTGTTGCCAAGTGACTGTCACTGGCTGAGGAGGCGTGATGGGTGCAGCTTCAACCGCTTTCCTCTAGAGCACTCCCAGTGCCATCTAGTGGGACGAACCATCCCATGCCAAACACCAAGGGTCCACATGGGAGACAACCTCCCCTGTTGGAGAGAGTCGTCCTACCGGCTCAGCTTTGTTGAGAGCACACTGAAAACCCACAGCTAATGAACCAAAAAGAGTCATCTCTGAGATGTGGGAAATAATGACCGCTCCCCCATGAAACTGAATCTAGTGAACACTAGAGTCACTGAAATCCCCCCTGGCCATGTTTGGACAGTCCCCAGTGGGCTGTCACATCGTACCTATAAATGCGGGGACTAGAGATGCATCCCTGTCCTTTCCATTTCTAATGTTCTATGATCCTTACTAGTCACTGCTAATCCTCTGGAAGAACCTTAGGATGAAGTCTGATCCAACACAGGTAGCAGAGAAAATTGCTTTTAAAAATTGGTGACAATTTTAAGATTCAAAGGTCTGACTGTCGAGCATGGCAGTCAAATTCCGGTGAGCGGTGAGAGGGAGGTCATAACTTCATCCTTGAGTGGTTCCCTCCAGCCCTGATTCGGCAACATCACACAGAAATCATCCCATCCCAGACCACCTCTTTCAAAACCAGCAGGGATGGGGATCATCAACATTGAACAGACCAGCCCGCTGGGATCTGTGTGACTAGTCGCACTGACTTTGGCATTGGGATCGGTGCCCATCTGCAGCGGAGCTGTAGAAAATGGCGTTGAGAAAAAGCAGATAAGTGGCTCTCGTGGAATCCGAACAGTGCTTTAGGGCATGTTTGGGGCCGGCAGGCCTGGCTCCGTCGTTGTAGAATATGCATGACCCAGGGTGACAAAATCCCTGACACCCAGCAGAACACGCACGTGTCCTCATGCCTCCCGGTCCTCCTGCGTCTCCGCAGCACCCACTGGTCTAGCGAGCTGACGGCAGGCCCGGGCTTGGGAACGGGGAGCCCGAGAGGCAGAATACACTCGTGCACGGGCATGAGAGGGTACGTCGAGATTTCATTCTCTCTTCCTTCTGTGGTTCCTCACCTAAGGAATAATATTACAGTCGCTCAGATACGTCTTCTTGTTTCCCGACTTGGATGATTATGCTGTAATCACAGTCCAGTGACTCTCACGGAACCCTGCTGGTCTCCCAAACACGAAAGTGCCCTTTCGAATGACATCTTTAAAAAAAAACAAAAAACAAACAAAACAGTGTTTTTTGAAGCTCCTGCCAGTGTCTCCCATCTGCTAAGGGGTTACTGAGGCAGGAGGGTTCATGGCCCGGCCCGTAACGCCACGTGCTTTCTTGTTGCAGTTACACACCCAAAGAACAACTATTCCTCAAGAACTCCCTGCAGCTCCCTGCTGCCCCTGCTGAACGCCCATGCAGCGACCTCTGGGAAACAGAGTCACTTTACCCGAAAATCGTCCAATCACAACAAGCCCTCGGAGGGTAAAGCCGCAAACCCAAAAATGGCGAGCAACCTTCCCAGTGCTGCCGACAGCTCTCACCAGGCCGTGCCAGCTAATAAGCAGGTGAGCCCGTGTGGGGAGGCCGGCGTGCGCTGCCTCCGGGGGTCCTGCAGACCCCGGTGCCGGGAGGAAACTACCTGCCTGACGTCGGAGTCCTCTGTCTGCCAGCCGGCCTCGTCGGAAGCCCCCTGGTCCATCCATCCCCATTTCACAGGCCCTTTCCCAGGTGGACGAGATGGCCTTCATACACTTTGGCATTAGCAGCGTCCGCCTGAAGGAGCCAGCTCTTCTTGTGCCTTTGAGGCCACCCCCCGCCCCCAAGCCCCAGTAACTGGCCCGGGTGCAGAAGGGACTCACACGGACGTGGGAACAAGATTCCGTACCTGGCCACTGGCTTTGTTGGTGAAAGGAAATCTGGCATCTGTTGGACCCTTGAATTCCCATTTATGTGTAGTTTATCAGTAAGAGGCCAAAGTTAGTTCAAACTTCCCTCTCTTCTTTTGGGCTTTTGGTAAAGAGAATATATTTCAAAGTGACATTATTAATTCCTCTCTGCCATAGCACCTAAAAATATAAGTGTCCAAAGGTCACCTTCTTTCCTTCTGTTCCTCCACTATATGCCTGAGAAGTGATTTCCCCCTTATCGTCAGAGGACGAACAAGACATGGGACTTGATGATACAGATGTTGGGCATGCTATAAAGACACCTTTCATGGTCTCCAAGAAAGAGAGCTCAAATAAAGAGACGTTTTTAAAGCATTCCAAAATCCTGGTTTTCTAGCAAGTGCCCTGTTGGATTCTGTGGTCTAGGGTTATGAATGACACAGACAGGCATTTCTCTGGGCCCAGATGTCTTTCCCAACATTAAAACAGCACTTTGACAAGGAGCATTTCATATATTCATGGGCTAAAGATCATAATCGGATCTGTTTTACTTGTCATCTCAACACATCTTCACAGCTTTTGTTCTTTGGTCATTATTAAACCCCATACGAAAAGTAAGTCTAAAATTTAGGCCGGGTTTCCCTTTCACTTCTCTAAAAACAAAAGAAGCCAAATTAAATGCAATCTACATAGATACTTTTTCAGCTCACGGTTACCATTTCCAATAAAGCATTTCAGGCAATGGCTCATTGAAACAGAAATATACTTCCATATGGAAGCCAGAGTGCTGCAGACCCAGACAAGAAGGGCCCTTGGGGCAGGCCCTTCGCTTTGGAGTAACCCCTCCTGGCCCTCTCCCAGCCACAGCCCTCCAGATGGAGCAAGACTGAGATGTCATTACTCAGAATCTGTACTCTCCCTTCTGGAAAGTGCTCCAAATACTCCAGATCCTGGAATTCTAGTCCCAGATGGCCCAAAGCCTACTCTCAGGGTCTGTTTGGGCCACTTCCCTGGATATAGCACCCTGAGAGCCAACCATACTGCCAGTGTGCACATCCCTAGGTCCAGAGGGAGGATTATTTGTGGGGGGTGAGGATGAAGCTTAAGTGTGCAGGCTAGAGGGTCCATATTCCTGTGTGCAAGGCCCACTCACAATGTGGGAAGGAGTCAGAGCAGGGAAGAGACAGTATTCAGTCATGCGGTTTATGGGCCTGCCTTTGTACTCTTGCCCTGGGGCCTGAAAGATTAGGGGTGGGTCTGCCCTAAACCTCTACTATCCAGTCACAAAGCACCAATTTAGAACTTTATATGTTTGTAAGTCATAAAATCACACATTTTATTTTTTTTTTTAAAGATTTATTTATTTAACAGAGAGAGACACAATGAGAGAGGGAACACAAGCAGGGGGAGTGGGAGAGGGAGAAGCAGGCTCCCCGCCGAGCAGGGAGCCCGATGCGGGGCTCGATCCCAGCACCCCGAGATCATGACCCGAGCCGAAGGCAGACGCTTAACGACTGAGCCACCCAGGCGCCCCAAAATCACACATTTTAATAATAGAAATTTGATTTTCAATAAAGGTCTCTGTTCGTGGAACAACCTATTTATGAATCTTGTCAGGAGACCATGCGCGAAATGAGAATGGCTCTGTCATTTTCTAACTGTAGACCTTGGGCAAGTCCCTTAAGTTCATTATCCGCATCTATAAAATGAAGCAAATAATAGCAACTATCTTAAAGGGTGAGTGTGATGACGCACGAGATGGTCCCTTGCGGGAGGCCTGTCACGCTTCAAGCACTCTGTGAATGTTGACTCTTGTGGACCTCAAGGGGTTCAGATATCCTTCCCTTGTACAGGGACAGACATGCGGACCATTGCTTCCTCTCTACTCTTCCATTTATGTTCTTGGCTGCTGATTTGTTGAAGGTTGCCAGTTTTCCAGGGTGATGCTTCAGAACTCGTGTTGGCTGAGAACTACAAAAAGTATAGAAGAAGAACTAATCACCTGTAGGAAAATAACGTCACCTCTACATCCTGCCAGGATCTACCAGATAGACCCCATCCTTGTATTTACCAAGATAATATTTCTAAGCTATGGTATTTGTTTTGAGATGAAAGTAGAAAAACTGCTTTAGAGAAGAGAACTTACAAGCTAAATTTTAAGCAGAATTTTACATTTTTCTTATATATATAATGAGAATTCATATACATAATCTATTTAGACGGTCCAAGAAATTTTCATGGTAGAGAATCATCATTGCCCTGCCTCTGTGTTAACGTTTCATTCCATTATATTTTAGGCGTACTTTATGGGGTTTATTTGGTTCTGGAATTGTCTCTCTTAGACTTCTGAAACCTCTCTTCCTGTCGGTGATTTCCTTGGAGTTCCGCTTACAAGACAGTCCACTGTTCTTTTAAGCTTGAGGATTGTATCAGCTTGACCCCATTTGCATGTTGACATATTCCTCTAGGGTATGCAAAAGCTTACCTGTGGCTTAGAGGTTTGGTTTCCCTGATGTCCCCTGGGGTTTGTTGGCATCTAATACCTATCTCTTTTCTTTTTTTGGCAGAATGGGTCTTCTAGCCAAAGACGAAGATTTAATCCCCAGTACCATAACAACAGGCTAAACGGGTCTGCCAAGCCGCAGGGCAGTGGAAATGAAGCCGAGCCGATGACAAAGGGCAGCAACCGCCACGAACACAGAAGACAGCCACACAATGGCTACCGTCCCAAAAACAAAGGCGGCGCCAAAAGCCAAGAAGCCCCCTTGGGGACAAAGACCCCCGAGGCCGCAGCCCATTCGGAGAAGCCCCGGCGAAGGCACACCGGAGACAGCTCGGAGGCCAGGCCTTTCCGGGGTAATGTCGCTAGGGTTTCACAGTGCAATCTCTGCCCCACGAGAATAGAAGTTTCCACGGATGCTGCGGTCCTCTCAGTCCCGGCTGTGACGTTGGTGGCCTGAGCTAGGAGGGAAGGAAAAAAAAAAAAGCAGTTTTCTCTCAGTTTTGGTTCCCTGCCCGAGGTGCTGACCCAATTCGCTGCCAAAAGAGAGTCAATCAGAGTATACAAACCCTGTATGGTTGTGTCATCCTCTCTTAATCATTTTTACTAATTCTAATAATCAGCTCTAGCTTGCTTTCATAACTTTCATGGCTTTGCTTGATCTGTTGACGCTTTTTCTCATCGAGACATTGCAGCATTTTAGCCAGGCGGTATTTACTCGTTTGTGAGGAAAAGCAAGGTGTGGCCAGAGAGCAGAGGCTGGCTAGCAGCCTGTGTCGTAAGGGTGATGTCAGTCCATCGCTTGTCTTTAGAGAGTTAATGTGGGAAAAGAAAAATTCTTGCTGATCGGACAAACGTGATCTGCTGAAGACACATGCGCTTTTGTAGAATTTAACATCTGGTGTTTTTCTGAAAAAAATATATATACATATATTGCTTTATTTGAAACAAATTAAAATATGCTGCATTTGACACCTGGCTTGCTTTTCTTACTGATGCCCACTTTACTGCTCAGTGTAGGACTTCCGCGGAAACTCGAGCGATTGTGGCACAGAGCTCTCTGCAATACTCTTGCTCTTGGGACAAGTACTTCTTCAGAAAAAAACAAGGCCTCACAATGGCTCTGGCCAGTACGTTGCCCACATATAGGTGGGTATGCACCCCAACCATCCTAGACACCATGTGGGAGTTCGGAAACCTTGGTTGCAAGAAACATAAAGCTCAGCCCAGGCTCGTTTAAACAATAAAGACAGTTTATTGGTTCAGTGACTGAAAAGTCCAGCAACAAAGTATGCCTTGGGTCCAATTTGGTCAGGACTCCAGCTCACTTCTCTTGATTAGCTCAGCTCTCCTTCCTCCTTAGGCTGACACTGTGTTCAGAGTGGTGGCAAATAGCTCCCTTGCTTCTCGGATTCAAGTCCATCCCCTGCACTGTCCAGAAGAAAAGAGAGGCTCTCCAGGTAGCATCCCCGTGGAGCAAGTGTCCTTGTCAGAAGTCCCTGCAAAAACACTCTCTGCGAGGCTCTGGAAAATCATTGGCCCAGATTGCTGGCAGGCTTGTCACTACACCAATCAACCAGTCACCAAAATGGGGGAGGGAGCAGCGGATAAGATGTACTAATTAGTGTAAACTGATCGGATCCCAGCCCTGGAGCTGGGGTGTGGCCAGCTCCCCAGAAGCACAGGGGCCCTGTGGGAAGGGCTATGGTTTCCTCCGGAAGGGAGAATGGATGCTGGGGAGCCCAAGCCCCAAAGAACCCCAAATCCCCTATCTTTGACTGCAGGGCAGCTCAGTGTGGGCCCTGCCTCCATCACCTTCCCTGTGTCCTACAGATTGGTTGGCCTCTTTCAAGTGCACATGCTGACTTTCAGCTCAACATTAACATTTTTTCTGGCAACCAGCTTCAGTGGTTCTCTTGCACACAGCGGCCCCGAGCAGCTGAGCCTACTCGCCACGCAGGCATCCGTTTCTTTTGCCAAGCGCAGGAGGATGTTTGCTTTCTCCGTAGAGAGCTTTCTGAGGTCTCTGGGTGTACCCAGAGATTTAATAGGAATTTTAAATGTTAAGTCACATTCCAGGAAGGAAGGAAGAGTTGTTCGTTCAAATAAGAAAGATAAATGTGCAGGACTGCAATCCCTGTTTACTCCATCTGAGGCCCTGAATTTATATTTTACAAGACAGAAGGACTTTGCACAAATTTTGTGTAGCAAGATTTGGCCTGCCACTGAAAAATGTCAGTGTATATGTGACAGCTTTAAAGATGAGTCAAATAATTCTTGCAACAGAAAAACACCGGGTTTTCCAGCTCAGGGGTACACCTTCCTTCGTTGGCGTCCGCTCCAACCACTCTCAGCCTGGACTGCCTCACTGGCAAGAACACATTTCCAAGCACATTGCAAATGCGCCCAGGTCACAGAAAAGAAACCAGAAAGAGTGCTAAAAAGTGTTCAGACCTAATTTTGGTTTTTCCTAGATTTTGCCTTTCTTATGAGGCCTCGGGCATGTGAGCCTTTACTAATTTTCATGTTTGAAACGGTAATTTCAATATTATAGTGCCAAGTCAGGCCATTTAAATACCACACTACATCTATTCACGTGCAACCATTGTGATCTTAGCTGGGTAGGAGACCGCCATTCCTTGAAAATGTTTCAAATTCCTTTAAAAAAAAAAACCCACAGGCACGAGCACTCTCCTGTCTGTAGTTAATGCACAAGAGCTGGAAGAATAGATTCCTCACTCTTAGACATTTCTCTAGTAGAGGTTAAAACATTTTAATACCCATGAAGATTGAATAACTTCAAAACTCACCTACATTATACCAGGACTCCATCTGTGAAATTCAAACCTCCCTGTTGGGTTCCCATTACATTGAGAATTTATATTCCGTTTGAGAACCTCTGCCTACTTCAGCTCTGTCCCGTTGAGCCTCTCCGAGGGGTGCTGAATACAGCAAGGCTTAGAGAGTTAAACACAAGTCATGCAAAATTCACCCTCAATAAAAGATGTACAGGAGTCCGAGGGAAGAAACTAGAAACGTAACATAGCCACTTTAAATCTCAGTTCGCAAGTAGTTCAATTCTGCTGGCATCAGAAAAAGGGATTCTAATTAAATATTCCTAGGGAAGCGACACCAAATGAGGTTAATGGGAAAAGTTACCAGACCAAAAGCGACCTGCAGGGCGCCTGGGTGGCTCAGTTGGTTAAGCGACTGCCTTCGGCTCAGGTCATGATCCTGGAGTCCCGGGATCGAGTCCCATGTCAGGCTCCCTACTCATCAGGGAGTCTGCCTCTCTCTCTGACCCTCCCCCCTCTCATGCTCTCTCTCTCTCAAATAAATAAATAAAATCTTTAAAAAAAAAAAAAAGGCGACCTGCAGATTTTTGCCAAAGTTAAGAGATTTGGGAACTGTGACTCTGAAAGCCTAGATCTGAGCCTCGATTTCAATGTAATCATGAGACGAGGGAATCTAGGACCCGGTCAGTTCTTTTTCCTGGGGCAACTGGGATGCGGGAGGGGGCCGTGGAGAAGGGGGAACTGAGAGAGTGACCAGACAGGCAGATGCCTAAATTCGACACCACCTTTGACTGAGAGCTTCACCCTCCGGCGGCTTTCCCTTCCTCCTTCCCTTTTTGCACTGTCCCCCTACCCTGTCTGTTTAGAGTGCCCTCTTGTGTCTAGAGATGGTAAGGTCTTCACTTCTCTAGGACATGCTAATGAGAGCATCATGAACTATGTATGTGAGGGCACGTTTGTTCCACTGGCTTCAGAGGCCATACCTAAAATTCTGGCACAGTTGGGCAAGGGCTCCAGATTTCCCCCAGGCACCAAAAAATGACGCAAAAGAGAAAGAACCAGTGACCTGCTCCCACATTTCCTAATCAAACTCCTCACCACCATCCAAATCATTCAGCAGGCATTATAATACACTGCTCCAGCATTTTCCTAAACGTACTGAGCCATCGTAACTGCTCCAATTTGGTGAGAAAAAAAAAAAAATGAAGTGTTGCTAAGTCCCAGGGATTCTCTTCTTACCTCAGAATTTGGAGCACAATTTTAATACTCTTCATTGCAAGCTATTTCAAGGAGTTTTTTCTTTTTTTTTATCCTTTTGCTTTTTCTAACAAGGCTTTATAAACCCCAAGGCAGTTCTCTGTCTATTCTTAGTTTCCAAGAACGAGGTCCCCAGTCCTTGGCTGTGGATCAGCCCAAACTAGTGCTTCATCCCATTACAGTGGCCCCCGCACTCTGGTCTGGATCTCATCCTGCTGAGATGCGTGCAATGTTGCTCTCATCACGCAGTTTCTTGTAAATTATTTTTGGGGAGTGCTTTTCAGAAGTCCCCTTGTTTGTGAACTCTGCCTCTTCTCACAGCTCACAAGAACTTTTGGTGCCACCACTAAGTTCAAATCTCACAGGTGACATTGCCACACACTGTTTTTAGGGAATAAATAAATTCTAAGCAAATTTGTTTCTCCGCTTGAGAAAACATGTAGATTTCTCACACACACAAAAATTATTTCAGAACCACGAGTGCAACAATGACCAAAGAATTTCTACAGAAAATGAGTGTAGAAAGTACCTCCCATCAAAAACAAAACTATCCTGGGGCACCTGGGTGGCTCAGTTGGTTAAGCGACTGCCTTCGGCTCAGGTCATGATCCTGGAGTCCCGGGATCGAGTCCCGCATCGGGCTCCCTGCTCGGCAGGGAGTCTGCTTCTCCCTCTGACCCTCCCCCCTCTCATGTGCTTGCTCTCTCTCAAATAAATAAATAAAAAAAAATCTTTAAAAAAAAAACTATCCTATTTTTTTTAACTTCAGATGCTTAAGTTTGAATTAGATTTACCTGTTCTAGTCCTTTGTGAGAAGACACTTTCTATGAATCACCATCACTATGTAACAAGCTGGCTAATAATATTATTACCCCTCTGCCAATGCCTGACACACAGTAGGAACTCAATACATACAAGAGAGCAGATAGGAAAGAGTGGTCAACTCCCAATACCCTTAGAAAATTCTGGAGTCTAAATGGCTTTATGCAAAATAATCCAGGAAGCCAATTCTAGAGAAGATGGGAAGAGAACAGAGCAACTAAAGTTCTGCCCTTGGTGGCAGACTGCCTGGATTCACATCTGGGCCCCACCACTTCCTGGCTGTGTAAACTTGGGTGTGTTTCCAAACATCTCCTTACCTCAGTTTCTCCGTGGTCTGATAACCACACCTACCTTGAAGGTTTGTTGTAAGGATTGAATAAGTTCATCTTTGCAAATGACTTGGAATAATTCCTGGCACTTTGTATGGGTCAGGTTCCAATCAGGAGACAGTAACCACCAAGTAATTTAAATGGGGAAGCTTTATAAGTGTATATGGGGAAACTTCATATATATGTTCTTTTATGTGTGTGTGTGTGTATGTGTTTATGAATGAGAGAAGAAATAACTAGTAACAGGGATTACCTACTAAAGAATACAAGAACAGCAGATACAGGGACAGTTACCACTGGAGTAGTGGCAGAGAGTCTAAGGAAAAAACAAGTTTGGGCGAGCCCCCCACCCCTACTCACCCTGCCCCCGCCAAGGCTGAGATTCCGATCTCCTGGAGGAGGGTGGATCTGTAGCGCGTTAAAGGTCAAGAAGCTCACGGAGGTGCTGGCCAGCAAGAAGCCCCATGGGGTACTGGGGAGCCAGAGAGTTTCGCCCAGAGAGGGTGCTGGCCAACCTGCCAGGGGTCCACCTGCTGGGGTGACGCTGAACTCTGAGAATCTGGCTGGGGTACTAGCAAAACCTGCCAGGAAGCCACCTGCAGGGGTACTGCTGAATTATCTGGGCAGCCTGCAGGGGTACCCACAGGACTGGAAGCTGCCGCCAAAACTTACTGGGGGGGCAAGGGCCTCTGGGGCTCCCACACCCCAACTAAGCACCGCAGGAGCAAGAACACAGGGATGCACATTATGCATTAGCAAAAAGCCCCTT